AAAGACTGGATAAAACGTCTACAGAAATATTAAGAAAAACATTAGAACTGGAGAGACAAAATGCGATAAGAGAAGCAGAGAGAAAAAGAAGGGAAAAGATACCCAATAAAAAGGAGTGGGCAAATGCCCTTAACAAAGATCCTGACTTACTTTTTATATCTACAGTAACATTTATGAACACACGGAAAAACCTTTGGATTCAGCAAAATACATTGACTAAGAAAGATATTGGGCAAAGAAAAAAGATTAAGGTGGAAACCAAGAAAATAGATGATGGGACTTATCAGAGAGAACACTTAAAAAAGAAACATTTGTTTGAATATGGTTAAAGAAATAAAAAATTTTTGGAATATACTATTTTAAGAGGGATGAATTCTCTAAACAATATAGTATGCTTTTTTCTCTTTTGTGTTCTTTTTCTTGTTATGAGTAATATAAAAAAGTTGAAATGATTTAAATAAAGGAAATGTCTTAGTTAAATGTGACTGAATCTAAGAAAATTATAAAAAAAATGTTGTGAGTAAGAGTTAAAGGACTAGATGACTAGATGTATTGAATTAATTAATTCACCTTTTGAATCTTGTAGCTTACTTATCAATCTTTTTTCTCTTTCTTTTTTCAATCTGTATGCAAGCCATCTTCCCGGTTTATTAGCATTTTCAAAAAAATTCTGTTTAGATCGTTTAATCTGTTGTGCCATTATATCCATCTCAAGTAAATTTAACTTATGTTTTATTAACTCCATTTGTGTCTTCAACGCTTTCTTTTGTGGGTCAACACGTAACTCAGATCCAAATTGCTAAATTGTTCTTTCAGTCTGAGCTGTGTTTGTTTCTTTTCTTTATTCTTTTTAGCCACATAAGTAATAGCCAAACCTCTAAAGTATACTTTCGTCGTATCCCATACATTTTGAATAGAGGTTTCTTCTTTCTTATTAATTTTAAAAAAATCCATTTCTTTCATTATTAATTGTAAAAATTCTTTTTCTTTCAGTATGGATTTATTCAATGACCATCTTAGTTTTTTCTTAGTTCCTTTCCAAATCATGTTAATTGGATTATGATCTGCCCAGATATTAGGTTCTATTTCAATCTCCTGTATCATAGTCTTTAACTCATAAGAGGTCCATATCATATCAATTCTTGACCACGATTTGTGCCTACTTGAGTAAAATGTAAATTGTGTTTTATCTGGATTCATTTCTCTCCATGTATCTTGTATACATAATTCTTCTTTCATCTTTAAAAAAGATTTGGGTAGGGTATTTCCCCCTTTTTTCCCTTGTTTGTAACTTTTATAATCCTGTTTTGCATCAACTATTGCGTTAAAGTCTCCAAGTATATAGAGATTTTGATAGTTTAATTTGACTAATTTATCATATACTTGCTGAAAAAACTGATCTTGCTTCTCATTGGGGGCGTATATAGCGACCATCAAAATTTGTTTTTGATTCCATGTAATTTCCACCATTAATAATCTCCATTCATCGTCAACGTAAATTTGTTTTGGGTTCATCTTTTCTTTTATGTAAAGGGCTACCCCTCTTTTCTTTTGCAATGCCAAAGAGAAATAAAGTTTACCTTTTTGGGGGTGTTCTAAAAGTCTAAAATGTTGACTTTTAATATGCGTCTCTTGAAGGCAAATTATGTCCAATTTCAATTTTTGTAGCCTATGAAATATTTTACTCCTTTTTGATGGGGAGTTGAGACCATTTATATTTATTGAAAAGATTCTAGTCTCCTCCATGATTTTAGTTGTATCTAGATCTCAATCTTCTAGGGGAACTTATCTGCCTCTGATCTTTGGGCCTTACGTCTTCCTCTGTTTGGGTCTTTTGGGGTTCTTCTTCCTCTATTTGCTTCAATGTTCCTGCACCCATCATTTCCTCTGTTTCTTGGATTCATCATCGCCTTTTTCCAAAAAACTGCTATGATTGTTGAAAAATTCCTCTGCTTGAGATGGGGTATCCTGTCTAGATCTTTTCGAGTCCCAGAAGATTAATAATCCTTCTGGGACCAACCATCTAAAATTCACTCCTTTATTGATCAATTTCCTTGTTAAAAATTGATACTCTCTTTGGGCTTCTCTTATTCTTCTGGGAATTTGTTTCAGAACTACAAGTTCTTTGTCTTTATATTTCAATGGTTGATCTCTTATTGCTCTCAGAATCTCATCTCGTGTTGATCTTTTGAGGAATCTTACATGGACCTCCCTAGAAACTCTAAATCTTCTTGCATAGCTTGAATTAACTCTAAAAACCTGATCCATTTCTCATTTCATTTGGTCCGTTTCCATTCCAAGTAGTAACTCACTCATCAACTCCAACAAGTTCTCATTCTTCTCTTCTATAATATGTTGGAATCTTAAAAAGTATGATGCTCTTTCCATCTCCATAACGGCCATATTTTCTTCCAATTCCGCATTAGCTTGCACCAATCTCTGGTTTTCATCTTGCAAAGCTTCTAATTTCTGATCAACCACCGCTGACTTATCTTCTATTTTTTGCATTCTTTGTTGAGTGTCTGTCATCGCCTGTTGAAAAGTTTCCAATTTTTGATCCATTTTAAGAAGATCATTTTTCAAATCTTCATAATTTTTTTCCAAATCTTTTTTCATTTCCATTTTAGATGCAGCAATTGCTTGGAGTATCATTTGCATATCTTTTTGTTGCATTTCCTATAGTAGAAAAGTCGTAATTGATTTTTGCGGAGCTGAACTCACCAAGGTTGAGGCAGGGGCCGAGGAACCCTTCTTCGCCCCTTTAACCAAATTTGAGATGCTCATTTTCTAATTGCTGTTTTTATTTATAATCCAATAAGGAGCTCAATGGCTAATTTTAATCCGTCAGACAGCCAGATGGCCAACTGTAATCTAAAGCCCTCCTATTATCAGGAGACAAGGCCAAACGTGATTGAAAAAAGAAAAAGGAACAAAAACAATTCCAGTAGGGCAATAGTTTAAAAAAAAAAAGAAAAAAACAACTTCCACAACCATCCAAAAGAAGAAAAAAATGGAAAAAAGGAAGAACAAAAAAAAAGCAAGACAAAATCTCAAAAAAAAGAAAAAAGGAGAGTGCATATTTATATCCAAAGAGGAAGACTAAAAAAAGGTATAAAAAAAGAACAAAAAAAGAAGAAACCAAAAAAGAGACAAAAGTAAAAAGTTCTAAAAGGGGAAAAATTATAGGAAAGGGAAAAAAGAACAATTTATAGTCCAATTAGAAGTTTAAAAATTTATTCCACTGCCAAAAAAGAGAAGAAAAAAAACCCAATAAAAGATTCCCTTTGTTTGTAATTTTCCTTATTATAGGCAATATACGGGTGGCCAGACACACACAAAGGAAAAAAAAAGTCTTTTTCAGTATCTTTTAAAAGAGATAGGAATGTCTGGGCATAGAGCCAAGTGTCTGGGCATTGAGCCAGGTTTTGCAGTTGAATAAACAAAGCTGCCTGCCAGCCAACAGGGAGGAAAAAAGTTACAATGTAATCCCAGACGTTTAAATAGAGAAGGGAAGATATTCAAAGTGGAAACAAAGTTTTAAAGTTCTAATAGAAAAAAAAGAAGCAGTTAGAGTGGCTTTTCCCAATTAAGATGTTTTCTTTTCCTTCTAAGAGTGAAATAATTTCTCCAGTTTAATTTTAAAATAGTTCAAGTTGCTTCTCCTTAGTAAAATCGCTTAAACCGCCACTTGTATGGGGGGGGGAAACAAAAAAACCCCTCCTCTTTCCTCCCTTCAGCTTTCAGCTTCGAGTTAAAGACAGATTATTCTTTCCAATAAAGTCCACTTTGCCAAAAGAACAGAAACATAGTCTCACCCGGCCCGGCTGCTTGCTTTCCAAATCAGCTGTTTTCTGTCTCCGATGATCAGCTGTTAATGGCAATTTGCGTAAATGCACTCCACCTTTCTTTTGCTGGTTCCAGGGACTGCTTTGGGTTCGGGAAGCCGGCTACCGCCGCCTGCCATTTCTCAAAGGTTCGTCCCTCAGTGGCCTTTGGAGCCTCCACTCATTTAATCAATCAATCAGCCAATCAATCAGCCAACTGCTACACCAGCCCAGCTCAATTCTTACTGCAACTAGAAATATTATAACGAAGCAGTAAAGGAAAATGAAGAGGCAAGCTACAGTCTCCTGTAATTTCTTCTTTTCACAAGAAAGCGGTGCTGTGTATTTTATGGCTCAAGAAAAACAACACAAAACAACACTACACTCCCTTCTCCATTCACTCAGCACTAAATTGTGGAAACAGGAATGTGCAAATAAGCTGAAGAACAGCAATAGAAAAGTGACATGAAATAGAATGAAAACTAACTGCATGTTAATTTCATTTGCAAATACTGGAGTTGGCAGGGCAGATTACAAAACAAAACAAAACAAAACAAGCTCCTTGAACTATGTAACTCTTGGAAAAGAAGTGTGCAGCTAATTTCTGTATGAAGTTGCATTTACCCTTGATTTACTCTTTGCACCATTCACCAGATATGGTGCCTCTGCGTGGAGAAAAGGTAGAAAAGAACAATGTTATTCAGCTATGATTAGTGGGATGCCTCTAAAAAAATCTTGATCAAGGAAAAGCAATACATTTTCACAAGCCAGCCAGTGTCTTATAATATCACCATGATCAACCATGCATACTCAGAACTGTTTACAAAGAGACATGGAATGACTACTTCCAACAGCAGCAAAAGGCAAAGTTAATGGTAAATGGCTGAATGCATATACACATATTTTACTTCAAGCACTTCTCTGTTAAGCCTTATTTTTAACAGTTTCTTTCCAGTTTTGTTGGAAGGCAGTTGGGAGGGCAGAGATGAATGAAATTTACTGTAATTTGAAATTAAGAGAAAATAAAGATGTTACAACCAGATAAAGATTCTCTAAACTGGTTATCATGAACAGGAATTTTATACTGGCATTACCCATTGAACAAAGTGTTTCTAAAAATGAGAAAATATTTCATTAATTAGGATCATTAATAGTAGAATACTATGAGTTTCTTACCCTCACTTGACCCACAAACGCATTGGTTTCTTCTTCTTGTATTGTAAAATTTTTTGGAAGAAAGGGATCAAAGACCGGCCCATTATCATTTACATCTGTTACAACCACATTCACTGTAGCAGTTGAGGTCTAAAATAAATAAATAAATAAATAAATAAATAAATAAATAAATAAATAAATAAATAAATAAATAAATAAATAAATAAATAAATAAATAAATAAAGTGATGATCCATATAGTTTTATCTTACTGATAAAGTTAATCTTAATAGGACTCAGTCCTATTTAATGTTCACTCTTCAGAGCTTATGCAACATTGTTTCTTTATGGCATTTGCTGTGAATAGTTCTTTTTTTCCTCCCAGATATATAGTTTTTTACAAAATTATGGTACCCACTAATAGTTTTGAGTTAAAGAACCTACTCTAAACCAGACTGCTTAATCCCTTCATCCCCATCATAATCCTAGAAGTCATATAAAATACAAAAGTTGACTCTCTTTGTTATAAAACTGGTTAAGAATCAAACTGGTAGATATTTAATAATAAAATGCAATAACACAACATAGAAAAACTAATAGCATTATCAATAGCATTTTCTGTTACATAGAAAAACTAATAGCATTATCAAAAATGTATGTTAATTCAGAAATTGGTTCCATTGGGTTGACTTCTAGGAAAATGGATATTGGATTTCAGCATAAAAAGGCAAATGTTTTAATCTAGTCTTTTTCTGACTTAAAGCAATGACTATGAAACAGAAAATATGAGAAAGACATTGATTTTAAGCTGCCAGAGCCACATAAATAAGTTCTAATAAATTCTGTAACAAAATCCCACATGCATAACATTCTTCTATCAGTTCCAAATTTACTGTCAATAGTCACTAGAGACCACTGTTGTTCTGAGTCATTATCCAAAACACTAAAATCTCATTCAGGAATAGAGGCTGAGTGGTCAGAAAACAACTACATTTCCTGAAATTATTAGAAGTTTTGAGACTTTCAAAGAGATGTATTCATGAGACTGTGTAGAAATACTACATTTAAAGTAATTTGCATTTCAAATATTTTTCTGAATTGGTTCAGATACATGCAACTTACATGAGAAAAGAATTCTGAATGGATTTCTGAGAAAAGAATATGTTAAGATACATTTTCTTCATTATCTACAAATGTCAAGATTTGGTACCAATAACTTTTTGTTTGTAGAAACCCACATCCTTTCAAAAATGTAGTATATGCCCTAAAATAGTTTAAAATAAAAAAAAAATAGAAAAAAAGAACTACTTTCCCTAAAATCATGTAAAAAAGATAAAGTTCCAAAAATGTGTGTTACACAGCTTAACCCATTGTGGCTACTCAGTGCAATGTTAACCCCACTAAATCACCAATAATCTCTTGTATCTTTTGCATAGAATTATACCCCTTTGTCTGTATTGATACACAGTTGAACAATTAACATGTTCTTACTTTGGTAGGTAGTCAACTGCTAATTTGAACTAAATTGCCATGCTCAGCAGAGACCACAATGGTTAAAATTAGGGAAGAGGTTCTCAAGAAAAACTAACATGAGAAGTATATACTGAACACTTTCTATGACTACCTTCACTTATTTGCAGACCACTGTATCCAGACCCTTTTCAATAGTGATGGTGGAAAAACAAGAAAAAATAGTCCAACCAATTTGACTATTGAAGACCTTTCATTGGCAGACTCTCTAGGAACTTGTGATGACCCAGGGCACAGCACAGAGGCAATGCAGTCAGCTGGCAATTCAAACCGCCCTTTAATTGCTCCAAATTTTCCCCAAATGCTCCCATGTACCTGGCAAGCCTCCAAACAAAGGAAGACACACACACCTTCAGCCATCTCTGGCTGCAAGTAGTTTCACATACAGTCTGATTAGGAGAGGAATTTACTCAAGGCCATGGAGATAACAAGGAATGACACATACATCATAAACCTAACGAGTCTGTGTGAATACACGCTTGCCTGAGCAGTTTCAAAAGGGAAGCCAAAATACAGTCTGAAGTCTTTGAAAATCCAAGCAACATTGTCAGCCAGTCCAATGGTCAGAATTTCTGGGTTTCCAAGCAGAAGTCACAGAACAAGAGATCAGCAACAACACACACAAAACTCCAAGGAATCAGCGTTTGTTCCCGACAAATGCCTCTCCCCACAGTGTCTCCTTAAATCTCAGTCTCCAGGTGTGCCTTGTGGAGAGGGCCGGGACGCTCTCCTCCCGAGTAGTTGAGCCTGCCTACGTTGTTCCCTCCTTCTCTCCACTCTCCATGCTCTAGGATCAGATGGGGGTTGTTCTGTTCTGAGCGTTGGTAAGGCATTGAGACGAGGCAGGAGTAACAACAGTTGCTTCTTTATTCAATCTTCAACAGAACAACACCAAATGGCGTGGATCCCTTTTATACCCTTCTGCAGGGAGCAGCATCAACCAATAAATGCAAAGTATTTTTCCCACCTTGTGCATGCACAATAGGCTGGAGACAGCTTGTCTGGCCTGGGCAGCCTCATGGTCTGCCCGGGACTCTCTGCAGCTTCCTGCACCTGCTGTGTCAATCACATCCCAGGACATAACACCCCTCCCCTCTTAGTTCAAAAACATAGCCCTTACTATTTTGCAATACTACAAATCTAACACATATTCTTTTTTGAGTGTGTTCTGATTTCTAAGGAACACTTAAGCCTGCCCATCCCTAACAGGAACTTCACATAGTCCTGCAAATACTTTGGTGGGCCTTTGGCCCGCTCTGATCTTCTTGGAGCGGTTGCAAGTGCCCGGTCTACAAGCTCACCTGCCAGGCTCAGCAGACTGGGATTTTGATGCCCACTAGGTACAGGCGAACCCATATCATGCTGACTGGCCGGGTCCTGTAAACCCAGACCAGAGTTCCTTGGTGGGGTGGAATTTCCCAGATCCATGACAGACCCCTCTTGGGAGCACTGTTCCTTAGGCACAAGGCCAGCAGACAGAGTGGCCTGAACAGCCTGTGGTGTGCAATGTCCCGTGGACCCAGTGCCAGAGTCAGGAGCCGCCTCATTGGCAAAACCCCTATGTGCCTAGTGCAAACCCCTGCTTTCGCAGGAAGACTGAGATCTACAATCCTTCTCTGTCAGTTTGCAAATGGAGGCACATGTGCTTGCCTACCACTCATGTAGAATCATCTCCTCTCCTGCCGTCACCAGTACACAAAGTCAGAAAAGTTGGGGAACTCTGCTATAGTGGAAAACTCAGCTAGCTTCAGATTAAAGTTTTCAAATTTATTAAGCAGAGTTGCAATGAACTTCAGTCAGCTGTACATTTTCAGGGCTTGAAACACTGCTTCCTTTCTTGAGCTATTTAAATATTTTGCTATCCTTATGCAGGATCCTTGGTGCTCTCTGGGCTTGGTTGTTTTCTTGCAGACATTTCATTGCCCAAACTAGGCAACATCATCAACATGATGGTGTTTCTAGTTGGGGTAAGGAAACATCTACAACAAAACAACCAAGCCAAAGAGCACCAAGGACCTCTCATTTCAACCCTTAGCTACAAATATTCTCCTTCATTGGTTATATTAAAAAAATCATCCTTGTATACTTCAGTGCCTGGAACCTAATAAGATGTCATTTATCTGTCAAGCTTTTTTTTCAGTCTAGTAGAAAATACATCTATTCAGGAGTAGAAAAATAGTAGAAACCATATATATTCAGAAGTGAGCTGTTCTACAAGGGGGGACCACTGAGAAGGCTTGATAATGGAGTTCTGTCATGCCTCTGTCGGAGCCTGAATCTGCATAGGAAAATGAGCTGGAACGGGAAATGCCACAGGCTCCTGTACACAGGTGGGAGGACACACATGCTCCTTGGTCGAGGGTTCATATCGACTACGCTTTCAGGGGCAATTCTTCCTCATTGTTGTGGACAGTCACTCTAAATGGCTAGAGGTCGTTCCAGTGTCCACTACGATGACTGCCAGGACCATCCAGGTGTTGAGGGGGATCTTCACCTCCCATGGGCTACCAGATGTTCTTGTCTCCGACAACGGCCCTCAATTCACTTCTTCTGAGTTTCAGGCTTTCCTACAGGCCAACATGATCCACCATGCTACTTCGGCACCCTTTCATCCAGCTTCCATTGGCCAAGCTTGTACCTTTTCTTATCTCAAAGCTCTCAGTATAATCTCCATTCACTATCACTTTTGCTGTCTGGTTGCTATATATTGTTTTTATCATATTTATAAAATTCTTTCCAAAATCCATTATTTGTAATTGCTGAACCATAAATTGCCAGGAAACATTATCAAACGCCTTTTGGGTGTCTAAAAACACTAATGCTAATTGTTTCCCTGGATGTAATTCATAATATTCTAATACGTCCATTATCACCCTTAAAGTCTATCTAGACCCATACCAGTCGGGCTTCAGGCCGGGACACAGCACGGAAACGGCATTGGTCGCGTTGGTTAATGATCTCTGGAGGGCCCGGGACAGAGGCTATTCCTCTGTCCTTGTTCTTTTGGACCTCTCAGCGGCTTTTGATACTGTAGACCACGGTATCATGCTGCGGCGTCTCGGTGGGTTAGGAGTGGG